CTCGAGACTCCATTGAGTTCCTGTCTCTTCCCCTTTATATTCCTCTCTCTGCCCAGCCATATCACTCCTGTCTCCACTTCTCTAGTGCTGGGATTAAAGGCATGGGATCCCAAGGGCTGGAATTAAAGGTGTGTGCCACCATGGCCTAGCCTGTATGGCTGACTAATGCGGCTGCTTTGCACTCTGATCTCCAGGCAAGCTTTATTTATTAAAACACAAATAATATACCGCTATAACTGGCTGCTCTTCTAGAGACTCTGCACCCACATGGTGGGCACACAACCATCTGTTACTCCAGTTCCAGGGGATCCGATGCCCTGGGCAGCAGACATGTACATGGTGCACATATATACACACAAGCAAACACCCATGCATATAGAAAGAAAAGACAACTGAGGCAGAGTGACACACTTGTAATCTCAGCCCTAGGAATATGAGACAGAATGTATTAAGTTGCTTGCTGTGGTTAGCTTTAGCTGTTAAGTTGGCACAACCTAGAATTATCCAGAAAGAGAATCTCAAGTAACAAATTGTTTAGAAGACCTTGAGCTGTCGGCACGTCTCTGGGGAACTGTCTTGATTGTTAGGTCGCGGTGGCACCATTCCCTAGGCAGGAGCTCCTGAACTGCCTCGGAAAGCTAGCTGAGCATAAACTTGCCCACCAACCAGCAAGCAGCATCTCCTATAGTTCCTGCTGAACTTCTTGGACCATGAAGTGAATTCCTTGACCTGGGTAATAGTGTGGGAACAGTAAGGAAGCCAGCCTTCAAGTTCCTGTCTTGCCTTCCCTGAATGGTGGACTGTGGTCTGGAATTGTTTTTACCCACTGAGCCATTTTGCCAGCTCCCATGAATTATACTTTACTGTTTAAAATGTATGAGCAAGTCAGGCCTAGTGGCCCATGCCTTTAATCCCAACACTCCCGAGGCAGAGGTGGGGGAGTGGGGGGAGGAATATCTCTCTGTGAGTTCGAGACCAGTCTGGTTTACATAGTGAATTCCAGCACAGTCAGAGCTATGTAGTCAGACCCTGCCTCAAAAACAAACAAACAGTCTGGGGAGATGGTCTAGTAGATAAGTACCTTCAGGAGAGCATGAGGACTGAAGTTTGAATCTCTAGCACCCATGTTAGTGCTGGGAGCACGTGGTAGCCCGCCTGTAATCCCACTGCTCAGGACAGGGGATACCAGAGCAAGCTCAATAGCTAGGCTAGCTGAACTGCCAAGCTCTGGGCTCAAGGTAGAGACCCTGACTCAATGTATAAGGTGAAGAGAAGCATGTGACATCAACCTCTGGCCTCTACCATTTAAATGCACACACATAAACAGGTGTACCTGCACACACACCTCTAAACAAATATGCACTCACATACACACACACACACACACACACACACATACACACACACACCAGTATGCACACATATCCATGCAAAACATTTTAATCGGGGTTCTGAAATGTTTCCTATCATTGCTACTGTAATGTAAAGCTTTAATAAAATAATTGTAGAAGCCAATAAATATAAAATGGATTTCAGTACTGGTAAGGTAGCCCAGTGGTTGAGGATGTGCTTGGCCTGGGCAAGCCATAGGTTTGATCCCCAATACAGAAATCAAACAACAGCAGCAAGAGGAAAAAATATATTAGAAAGATTTTTCAACTCTTTACTATAATTGAGATGGCAGAACAACTACTCTGAAAATACAATGAGAAAGAGACTGAAGTAAAACAGGCTGGTAGACAGCTCTGTGGTACATAAAGTACTTATCACTCAAAAGCCCAGACCTGACAACCTGAGTTCAAATCACAGAACCAACACAAAAGTCATTCTCCCACATGTGCCATGGCACAGACATAGTAAAAATGAGGGAAAAACCCATTACTAATTAAAAAGTCTTCCAGGTCCAGCCGGGTAGTGGTAGCACATGTCATTAGTCCAGTACTCGTGAGGCAGAGGCAGGCAGATCTCTGTGAGTTTGAGGTTAGCTTGGTTTACAAAGAGAGCTCCAGGGCAGGCTCCAAAGCTACAGAGAGAAACCCTGTCTCAAAGAACCAAAACAACAACAACAACAACAACAACAACAACAACAAGAATGTCTTCAAGGTCTAGAACAAGTTCAGGTGAGAGTGAGGAAAAATAAGTGAATTGTTAAATACATTTTTCATCACTTGATCATGAACCAGAATCACAACACTATGGAAACATTTTAAGAACACAGGAATTGGGACTGGAGAGATGGCTCAGTGGTTAAGAGCATTGACTGCTCTTCCAGAGGTCCTGAGTTCAATTCCCAGCAACCACATGGTGGCTCACAATCACCCATAATGAGATCAGGCATACATGCAGGCAGAATGCTGTATATATAATAAATAAATAAATCTTTAAAAAAAAAGAACACAGGAATTTTACACGAATATTATTATTATGGGGACTTGGTTCAGAGGCTAAGAGCACTGACTGTTCTTCCAGAGGACCCAGCTTCAATGCCCAGAACCCACATGGTGGCTCACAATTGTCCGTAAGTACAGGTCCAGCAGAACTGACATTCTCACACAGACATAAATGCAAGCAAAATACAATAAAATAAGTAATATTTTTTGGGGGGACAGGGTTTCTCTATGTTGCTTTGGAGCCTGTCCTGGAACTGGAACTAGCTCTTGTAGACCAGACTGGCCTCAAACTCACAGAAATTCACCTGCCTTTGCCTCCCGAGTGCTGGGATTAAAGGCGTGCGCCACCACCACCCGGCAAAATAAGTAAAAATAGCTATTATGATCTCATTTTATTATAAGCAGCCCTGTATTCTCTTCATAATTGCCAGGAGGTGAACCCAGGTCCTATCCTTGAGCCTAAGCTAACTTGCATTACACAATAATTTATTTATTTATTTATTTATTTGATTTTTTTTTCCAAGAAAGGGTTTCTCTGTGTAACTTTGGAGCCTATATACAATAATTTTATAACAAACTCAAGACATTTCATTGGAGGCTAACTTTACCAGACAGCAATTTTCTTGTTAAAAATGTCAATCAGGTCAATTTCTTTTTTGGGAGGGCATTCAAGAAAGGATCTCTCTGTATAAACAGCCCTATCTGTCCTGGAACTAGGCATGTAGACCAGGCTGGCCTCGAAATCACAGAGATCTGCCTGCCTCTACCTCCCTAGTGCTGGGATTAAAGGCATGCGAACCACTGCCTGGCAGCCGGGTCGATTTCAGTGATATAAGAAGGCCATGCTGCATCTTTAAGTATAGGCCATCAGGAGTTATTGAGTTTTAAAGTGAATGTCATTTCAGCTTGTATTCTTACTAAAAGCTTACTGCTTTGGTGAGAACATTTCATTTCCTGGGTACGTGTACATATCAAATTCTTGAATTTGAAAAGTTTTCTTGACTGATAATGAATAGTAATTCCTATTTAGACATCCTAGTCACAATAAATAATGAATGAATGAATGAGCTGTTTACCTACAACATTGTCAAGGACAAAGATTCTTCAATTCAACTATTCTAGCACATTCTACACAAGATATGAGCAATTATTGTGGTACATTATTTGTGTTTTAATAAATAAAGCTTGTCTGAAGATCAGAGGCTAAGCAGCCACACTAGTCAGTCATACAGGCCAGGCAGTGTGGCACACACCTTTAATCCCAGCAGCCACACTAGTTTGCCATAGAGGCCAGGCAGGCCTTTAATCCCAGCACTAGAAGGAAATATAAAATGGGAGGAGACAGGTATCGGGCTCAGTCTTCAGTTTGAGGATTCATGACCGATTTTCAATCTGAGGTAGAGGTAAGACCCAGGGCTGGCTGCTTTGTTTCTCTGATCTTTCAACGTGAACTCCAATATCTGTCTCTCGGTTTTGATTAAGACCAGCTAGAATTTGTGCAACAGGCAATGGCATCTCGTTGGGAGATTACAGGGAAGAAGAATTTGCAAGAATGCTTTATGCAAATACTCCGGCTTGTCATTTTATCAGCAAGATTCATTAGTTCTGCCCTTGTGAAGCCAGAAATCAGAAGAAAACTTACATAGGGCTTTCAGAGATCGTTTAATGTAACCAGTACCACTTGAGAGGGGAGGCCCAGAATTCCATTATCTATGACGGGAGGAAGCGGAGGCTCACAACAGAAAAGTGACTTGCTCAGTTAACAGACTAATCAGTGAGAGAGCTGGGACTGAATGTTGGGCCTTCTAAACTCAGGGCTTCTCTTTCTGTGGCACCCTCTACTTCTCCAAGTAGGAGAGACTTCAGTGGTAGGCTCTGGTTTTCCACCTGAGAATGAGGGGGATGGAGGGAGGGCAAAGGAGAAGTAGCGAGGCAGGCAATCACAGGAGTCGCGTCAGAAAGAAGAGAGTCCAAGCACTCCCACTCTTTCCGAATACCGTTTAGATGTCAAGGATCACAAGTTACCCAGGACCTGTGCATAGAACCATCATGTTGGAAAAGTAAACACCCTAAATAAATCTAACCACTTTTCGAGCCCAAGGTTCTGACTGCTGAAGTTAGTCTCTCCCACAGAATCTGTGGCCCCCTCTTTCGTCACTTTAAATACCTTGGGGGCTGAAGAAGCCCCAGGGCGAGTGGGAGTGAAGAGGGCTTGTGACTATGGGGCGGTGTGGCTCAGGTTCGGCTACGGAGAGGGGGAAGCCTGCGGTGGAGCTGTGGTCGGGGGATGTGGGTTTTGTGGCTGAACTCGATGTTGGTGCAGGAAACCAGGGGAGTCGACAGCCGAGTGGAGTTCACCCGCCCAAGGGGGCGCGGAGTGGTTGAGAGCATTACCGAAAGCTCCCAGAGGTGCTCATCCAGGGTCTCCAGTACCAGGGCGAGGGCGGGGCCCCTCCGGAACGCCAGCGATTGGATGCTCCCTAAGTCCCGCCTTCCCGGACCCTTTCCCTGAGGCCCCGCCCATAACGCCAGGCGCGCGCCTCGGGAGCCGGGAGGGGTCGGGGCGGCGGCGGGAGGAGAGAGGTGAGGTTCCGGCACGCGCCCCACTCGCTGCGAGAGCGCGAGCAGCGCGCTCCCGCTGCCCGCGTCGCCATCTTTTTCCCCCTCTGTCCGTCTGTCTGCCGTTGGCTTTGTCCGTCCACCGCGACGCCCCTCGCCTCCCCGCCGCGGACCCGGCCCGTCGCCACCCTCTGCCCGCCGGGGTCCGGTCCCGGAGAGCCCCGGCCCCGCCAACCCGAGCTGCGGCTGGGGCCCATTGTCCCACGGTCTGTCTGTCCGGAGGCGGGGCCCAGGGACGCGGAGCGCCGAGGCAGAGGGTAAAGCGCCCTAGCGCAGGGAGCCAGCAGCCAGTGTAGCTCCTGCCGCTCCGCGCCGCCGTCCGCCTTTTGTCTGCCGGTGCCTGGGGAGGGGTGGGCTCGGTGTTGGCGGCGGCTGGGTGCGGGCCTCGCGGGCCGGCGTCTGACAGGCTGGGGTGGAGCTGGGGGAGGGGAGGATGGGCGTGGGAGAGCGGACGGGGCGGGGGGCACGGGCCGGCCTGGCGCGAACGGGCGGGGAGCTACTAAATTTAGATTTCGGACAAGGCTAAGTGGTCTGAGGGTTGGTCTCAACCGCCTCGGAAGACCTCTGGCTACAATTTAATACCTGCGATTTACCTGTGCTCCGATTCGAGAAAGCAGGGAGACCATCTCATGATGGTACACATGAGCTCCAGCCGCGACCCTAGAGGATCCGGGGGGACAGTGAAACAGCTATATGACCACCCTTCTTCTCTCCTTTTTGGCAGATTCACATCACTTGGATTCAGGCGAGTTTACTTTGCTCCGTGGGACCGCACCAGAGCTGGAGGTGGGAATGCACCCTCTTTTCTTAAGGCTGGCCTTACACACTTACACACACACACATACACACACAAAGACTGGCCTTATAAATATACACACACACATACTCTAACACATATGAGAGAGCAGAGACAAGGATGAATGGGGGTGATGCACCCTCCCAAGGTCTTGATTGTGGCTCTATAGATGACAAAACTGCACCCGTTAAAAGTAGCAGGCTTGTAGGTCTGATCCTCAGTTTACCGCTCTTCCCGTTCCAGTTTTCTTTCAGCTGAATAGGGTCAGGCAGCTAGCTCTCCAGTTACATTCCAAGCTTAAATTTCACATTTGGGCAGTGCCAAAGTTAAAAGGGACCAAGTGACCTTTAGACAGCGTACCTACGGGTTTTTTGTTTTGTTTTGTTTTAATAGGGTTGCCACCTATAAAGTTAACCTCAGCTATTGTGCTGTTTGGGTCAGGAGCGCCCTTCCAGGGCCATTTGTCAGTTTCTTATTTTTAAGGGTTCCACCCGGACTTTTTTTTTCTGGTGGCTGTTTTAATTATTGTGGCTTGGCTTTGTTTTGTGGGAAGGGAGGGTGTGTGTTTATTTTTTCTTTGATTCTTCAGGTGTGAAGTCTCATGAGGTGCCATCTGGTCAGTTCCCCAGTGGGCCACTAGGAGGACCCGGAGACACAGTGGATGCGATGCGGCTGCCTTCCTGAATCTGCAGCCCTGTTGCTGCAGATTTCATCTCTCTGCCTTGTAGCTTTAGTACTGAACTGTTGTCTTGCTAAGATGATCTAAACAGTTACTTGGCTCAAGCTACTTGGCATTCTTTCAAATAGATTTCATTACCTCTCTCAGAGCTTCAGTTCCTGATCTTTATGGGGGTAAATGGAGATGAGATTTCATTTGGTTTTCATTATACAATAGAGAAGTGTAGGAAGATAGACAATCTGCATTTCATTCAGCTCTCCACTTTGGGATTCCATAGACATGGAAAAAAAGATCTGAAGTGTGATATTCATTCACAGCTTGTGTTAAGATGTCTAGAAAGAATAAACCAGGTATAGTGATGCGCACCTCTGATCCACTAGTCAGAAGGCTGAGACCACAGGGTCCCTTGAGTCCAGGGGTTTGAAGTCAAGGCAGAGTCTCCAAAAAGAGTAGGAGCAGGGGAGAGAAGACCACCCCGTACAACTGGGGTGTAGCTTAGTTGGTAGAGTGCTTGCCCAGTATGCAAAAGTCATATTCAGCTTCAGTCCCCAGCACCACTTCAAACTGAGAAAGAAGGCTGCCTGTCTTCTCTTGAGACAGGAATATCGGAAGTTCAAGGTCACTCTTGGCTACTCACCCAGTTTAAGACCAGTTAAGGATACATGAGACTCATATTTCCAAGGGAAAAAAAAAAAGAAAAACACAGATAATATATATCCTTTGTATTAGATATCAGTATGCTGCTGTCTAAAATTGGTTTTTCTATTGTACATATTAGGAGTTATTTTCCTTTTTTTAATTGAAGGTCTGAAAAGAACTGTGTTTGGTATGCAGATATGATAGAAGACTGCCTGAAAGCTGCTTCCTTTGCCACTTCCTGTGGAGGCCTGTCTTTGCCATTTGCGGTTTCTTTCTTCTTTTGGTAAGGGGAGGCAGGATCTGATTACAGGTTTGAGGGCCTTTCTAGTTACATAGAGGAGTTAGTTGGCATTAGCAGGTGAGTCTTCATTAACTAGAGTGCAAAGTACAACAAGTCGTTTCTCTTAAAGTAATAAACTATAAAATTTCTACATGTGAGTACAATTTAAGAAGGCAGGGACTGAAAGGAATTGGGGAAGACTAAACGCACCTCCCTGACTTTGGTAGAAAAGACTCTTCAGTTTACATTTGTTCACTCTGGTGTCTGTCTGTCTTGTTTTATGGTGCTGGGAACTGAACCCAGGGCCTGACACATGCTAGACAAGTGCTTTACTGCTGTATGACGTCCCCAACCCTCTCTGTCTTTTAAAGACAAGGCTACAGCTTCTGTACTAATCCACATCAGAGCCTCTTACCATGCTTACAGCTGAACCAGTCTTATGAGGAAGCTCGGACTTAAGGATTTGCCTGTTCCTTTGTCAGTGGGCAGATGCACATCTCTGCTGCTCTTCTCAGCAGTGTTTCTCTTACTGCTTCCTGGTGTCCTTGCTACACAGCAGGACTGAGAAGAGGCTATAAAGTTATGATCTTTGACCACCAGAACATACAAGCAGGGCCAGTTGGTCCACACTGGGAGACTGACTAGTTCCCCAGAGTGTGGATATCATCTACTCTTCTGGTGAGAGCCTGTCCTGAGTGGTGGAAGTTTGACTTGCTCTGGTGCCATCATGCTATGTGTCTGGTAGTGTGCTTGTATTGCAGAGACGTGATACCTTTGTTACTTCTAAGCACTGTTTCTTAGAAAACCATCTAGGTACAATTGCAGGCCTTGACTTCTGGTTGCACGTGTGACAGGGCAGCTGCTACAGGTCTTTGTCATGCTTTTGCTTTCCTCACATCTATGGGAGTGATCCCTCTAATCCACAGTACTTCTAACCTCGATTGCCTGAATTTGCATCCTTTTCTGTCCTTCATTCTTGACTGTGACCACTCAGTAGTCTAAATTCCAAAGGTAGTTTTAGAGAAATCTCTTTTAAGTCCTCTAAAATAGTCACCCCTTAGGCTTCTTGGGACCTTGACACTGGGTTAGAAATGTATTTACTTTTTTTTTTTTTTTTTGATTTTTTGATTTTTCAAGATAGGGTTTCTCTGTAGCTTTTGGAGCCTGTCCTGTAACTCACTCTGTAGACCAGGCTGTCCTCAAACTCACAGAGATCCACCTGTCTCTGCTTCCCAAGTGCTGGGATTAAAGGTGTGCACCACCACCATCCAGCTTATTTTTTTTTCATTTCATTAGCTCAGTTATTTATATCTGGTGAGTTTTATATGCTCTAGGTATTTTTTAAGGTCTTGAAAATTTCTAATTTTGTAATTTCTGGGGAGAATAACAGGCTAACAATATTGTTTTTTATTTATTTTTATTTTTGCAGGTTAGCACCTCACAAGGAGGTAGTGACATATCCAGTGGTGAAACTGGGAAAGACCAGAGCTTTTATATCAGGGAAACATGTCCCGTAGGAAACAGACAAATCCAAATAAAGTTCACTGTGAGTACTGGGCTTTGTCCTCTGGAACCTGGGAAGATGAGGGTCAGAATGAAAGAGAAACCTAAATTTAGGGCGAGGCTCGCACCCATTTGTGGAGGAAAGGAAAGGGTTAAAGGCTTACATACATGGATTTGAAGCGTGAGGTTACTCTAGTCATGTCTAACTTGTGTAAGGGGTATATGCATTATTCATTCTTAATATTATAGTAACAATTGCAGGAAACTTACTTTGTGAAAATATTATGCTAGGTTTCAGGGCTATAAAAAACATAACATAATTAAACTGTAATGCAGCTACACATAAACATAGAAGAAACATACAAATACAAGCTAGTATAATGCTGTATACCTCAGAGGGGTACTATAGACTATGTATACCACAGAAGTTAAAAGTAGTTAAGACAAACCGGGTGGTGGTGGCACAGGCCTTTAATCCCAGCATTTGGGAAGCAGAAGTAGGCAGATCTCAGAGGGAGTTCAGGACAGCCAGGGCTGTTAAACAGAGGAACCCTGTCTTGAAAAACCAACTAAAAAAAAAAATAAAGTAAAATAATAATTTTGCTGACTGCAGTAGCAATGGAATGCTTGATGGAAGAGGCCCTAGAACATGAACTTAAACATGGCCTCAGAGGATGAAAGATGTGTGATCTGTTAGAGAACACGGAAACTTGTTGCAAGCAGAAGTTTTATATCTCTCAAAGTTTATGTGACCTCGGTAAGACCTCATCCAGCTAAATTTCCACCTTGTGAAAAAGACTAAAGAAAAGCTTCAGCAATGAAGAAAACCATCAACAATAAAAAGCTGATGCAAATATAATTGGACAGGGGGCCAAGTTTCAACCCCATCAAGAAGCAGAACTTGGCTGGGCGGTGGTGGCGCACGCCTTTAATCCCAGCAGAGGCAGGCGGATCTCTGTGAGTTCGAGGCCAACCTGGTCTACAAGAGCTAGTTCCAGGACAGGCACCAAAAACTACAGAGAAACCCTGTCTCAAAAAAAAGAAGCAGAACTTGGCAGCTTTCGCCACATGGTTCTGGTTTTAGAGTCATGGATATAACAGAGGGGTTGTAGACTCTCCCTCCTCAGCTAAGGAAAGCTGCTAAGGCCAGGCATGTATGTGTCAGGGTTTCCCTGCTCCATAGTGAGAAACAGTTAACAAAAAACCAGGGCTGGGAGATGGCTCAGTGGACAAAGTGCTTATTGCACAAGCATGAGGACCTGAGTTAAGATCCCCAGAATCCATGTAAATAAATAAAGTAATAAAAAACCAAAGACAAAACTTAAGGGCCAGTGAGATGGGTCAGTGGGTAAAAGGCTCCTGCTTTGAAGGCTGATGATCCCTGGGACCAGCATGGTGGAAGGACAGAATTAACTCCTCAAGTTGTTTTTTGTCTACATCCATACTCAGTATATGCTTGCAGACACACACACACACACATATACATTCTACATTTTAAAAAACCTAGGTGTAGTGGTATGAATTTGTAACCCCAGTTCTGGGGGACAGGGTAGATTCAGGAGGATTTAGGACTTGATGACAGACAGTCTAGGTGGCATGGCAAGCTTTAGGTTCAATGAAATACCCTATCCAGAAATATAAGATAGATTGAATAGAGGAAGGCATTGACCTCTGACCTCTACATACATGTGCATACATACATGCATATGCACATTCACACACGCATACACCCCAAACAAAATAGTTAGTTACTATTAGATTTGGAATAATTAGCCACTTTCCTATAATCTGGGTAGAGAAGCATTCTTAACTAACCCTTCATAAAATATATAAGTGTCTATTATGGAGGACTAATTGAATAAAGTAGAGTACAGCAGCAGATGAAGAAAATTCAGGAGTATACATGATCTTTCTGTGAAGGGCCTTACACATAGTCAGCAGGTATTCCTACCACCCAGCTACAGTCTCACCCTGTAAGACTTTCCTTTTAAAGCAATAAGTAAACAAAAACATTGGATAGGATTGATTATGTAAGAAATTAAGGTGACTTAAATTTTATTGAAAACAGTGTGACCAAAGAAGTTATGATAGCTTTGACATCTTACATTAATATCATCGGGTAGCAAACCTTCATGTGCAATCATTGTTTAAGTCCTGGAAATGTTGAATAAGTTAGAACCAGGTGAGAGCTTCCAGTTTTATTCTGGGATAGGTAGATTTGCAAGGCTGCTTAATATAAAGGTGAGCAACTTAGGAAGACTTAGATGTTGATGCTGAAACATATGTAGCATGCCTGAATGTAGGGAGCAAAGGCGGTATCGCTTGTGTAAGCCATTCACCCCAGGGTTCCCCAGACATGACTGAGTAACTGCTTGTGGAATGACAGCACAGTTGTACTAAAGCTAGGGAAGCAACAAAGGCTTAGGGGCCTGTGCCTATGTCTGCATAGCTTATATTTATCAGTTGCATCTGCTCCCACCATAGACAGCCAGAGCCAAAACAAACTGGGGCTGGTACTGGAGTTGGAAAACATGAACAAACAGATCATGGAGGATCGGAAAATATCTATTTATCCATAGTTGCAGAAATGTTACCATACTCAACCTAACAACTGAATGTTGTACTGTGTAGAGTGGATGGGGCTTCTCAGATTCTCAGTAGTGGTCCTTTAAGAGGCCTTTTACTGTGGGACTATGTACACAAATACTCAGATGTACCTAACGAGTGAGCCCTGAGAGAGGCAGTTTTCAGTTTTGGGCAGAGACAGTCTTTTCACGTGATGAGTTCAGTTTGACCAAAGAAAACAAAACACTAAGATTTGCTGGTTTCTGAACACCTTTTATTTATTTATGATCTGGGGACTGAAGCTGATCCTATCCTTTTCAAAACAATAATACCTTCTCATTGTTCATGACAATAATGGCAAGCAAAAGTAGGTAATTCTAGTTTCTGACCACTTGAATCTCTTCTCACCTGACATGGAACGAATCAGACATCTTAAACTTAATGCTGTTTGTATATTTATAGTAAGTATGATGGATCCAAAGTCTAGGTTTGCATTAGAGCAGAGAACTGGGCTTCCTTATTTCAACCTTCTGGAATGACTGTGTGGCCTGAAGTTAAAAGCATGTCTAAATGGATATATTAAGAATTCTAGAGGCTGGCATACAACTTGATGGTAAAGTACTTGCTTATGAATGTTCTAGGTTCTAGCCCCAATACCAAAAAAAGAAAAAAATATTTAAATCCCACTGTACAACTGGGGTTGTAGCTCAGTTGATAGAGTGCTTGCCTACTGTGCATAAAATCCTGGATATATGAGGTACAGCACAGTGGCCATGTCTATAACCTTCATACTGGGAAAGGTAAAAGCAGTAGGATTTAGACTTCAGAGTCATCCTTGGCTTCATAGCAAGTTTGAGGCTGTTCTGGAATGCTTGAGACCCTGTTTTTCATTTTACTTTTAAATTTTTATTTATGTGTATGGGTGTTTCGTCTATATGTCTATGTATCACATGCATGCCTGATGTCCACAGAGGCCAGAAGAGGGCATCAGATCCCCTGGAACTGGAATTACAAACACTTGTGAGCTGTCATGTGGGTAATCAGATTGAATGTCTGGAAGAGTAGCCATGTACTCTTATCACTCCAGCCTCTGAAACCCTGTCTTCTAAAGAAGGAAGGAGAGAGGGAGGGAGAGAGAGAGGGAAGGAGGGAGGGAGGGAAAAGGAAGGAAGGAAGGAAAAAAGGAAGAGAGAAAGAAAGAGGAAGGAAAGGAAGAGAAGAGAAAAGAAAAAAGAAAAAGCGAGCCAGGCAGCAGTAGTGGGGCACACCTTTAATCCCAGCACTTGTGAGGCAAAGGTAAACAGATCTCTGTAAATTGGAGGCCAGCTTGGTCTACAGAGCAAGTTCCAGGACAGCTACAGCTGTTATACAGAGAAACCCCGCCTTGGGGAATGAGGGGAAGACTTGCACGGTGGCAGCCAGGTACTATTTCTTGGATGTACTTCAGAAGCCAGTGGCAGGACACTTTAGCACACACTTTGTTTTCATATTCAAATCATCCAGACAGCCCATTCCCATCTCCTTAGCAGACTCAGTGCAAAATTCTAGAATTAAAAACCCAGAATTACTCATTATAGAGAAACTGCTGCTGGATTGAAACCTTGTGTTTCAGACCTTCTGCCTCACCCACTTTTCCATTACTCCCCTTTCTGAGTACAAGTCTGTCAACTGTCTGGAGAATTTGGAAATACAGCCCTTTGTATACTCAGATTTCATGTGCGAGAATCAAGGAAACCACCAAGAAAGAAACTTTCCTTAAGACACTTTGTTTTCAGATCGCAAGGTACTGAGAGACTGGAAGCTTCAGCTGAAAGCTTTTCAGCGATGAAAAAGCGTCAAAGTCTTTTCTTTTCTGAGAAGCCAGGGTGCTTTGTCTCAGTCCATGCTGCTAGCATTCCTGAGATGTAATTGCTGTTCCCAACATAGACAGCACCTGGGTTACACAGACTGCCAGCTGAAAAGGAGTCGAAAGCACCCCTCTCCCAGTACTGCTGCTTTTTCTGAACAGATATCTGCTCACTTAAGAGAATGAACGTTCAACTGTGTAATTTCAAGCAGCCCAGAATTGCATTTACTAAACTGTACTAAGGACCCGAGGGGAAAAAAGCAAATCTTTGTTCGTCTGAGACTTTACCTTGATCTTTTTCATCTTTTTCCAAACTGGCTTTCACAGCCTTGTTCTTCAGCAGTCTGAATCCCAAGGCAAAAGTGTAATAAAAACTTTGCATTTCATACCAAATTTAAAAAGAGAAAACAGAGAGAAGAGTGCCTGGATTTTACTGTAGAACCTGGCTATTCATAGGCAGCTAAGTATCCACACTTAATAAGGAGGTGACCCTACATTAATATCTGTGAACTAGAGAGTTTGAACCTATTCTATAAGTCTCAAGATTAGAAGTAATAATTCTACATTATAAAAATAGACAATTCAAGTTGTATGGGTGGTGGTGCACGCCTTTAATCCCAGCACTCGGGAGGCAGAAGCAGGTGGATCTCTGTGAATGCAAGGTCAGCTTGGTCTACAAGAGCTAGTTCCAGGACAGGCTCCAAAGCTACAGAAAACCCTCAAAAAATAATAATAAGATAAAAATAAGATCAGAGGACAGCTTCTAACTATGGGTTCTCTCCCTCAATCATGTAGGTTCCTGGAATTGGACTCCAGCATGGTGGGAAGTGCCTTTACCCACTGAGCCATCTCAGTAGCCCCAGTGTAGCACATTTTCTTAGCAACTTTCACTGTCTTCTCACCAAGGGATAACTCTAGACAGTTGGATTTGGATATTAGGTAAAAGTGACTCCTGGAAAAATTACTGACTCTTAGGAAGTTTGATAAAATCTTCTTTAAGATTTAAAAATGCATATGTACTGTTTTATGGTACTATTTAAAATAGGAACAGCCTTAAAGAATAATATTTATTTTAGGCCTTTCCATAGTCAGAAATGGAGTAAAAGAGTAGGTTATGTTTCTATAGTGCTGAAAAAAAAAATAGCGTATCCCAAGTTCCCTAGCTGAGACTACCAGCAAGAATCCCAGGGAAGTCATATTGAAGAAATTCCATTCTTTAAAGGTCTGAATATTTAAACTTAATAGACAAAACTAAATTCTGAGTTCATATTGATAAAGATTAAACTGAATTACTCCTCATTTTGAAAGATTCATCTACTTTTAGTTATCTTGTAAAACCTAATTTATATATATGGGTGTTTTGCCTTGCATGCTTAGTACCATGCCAGAAGTGGGCAGTGGATCTCTCTCTTGGAACCAGAATTCCAGGTGGTTGTGAGCCACTATGTGGGTGCTGGGAATTGACCTGGGTCCTCTGGAAGAGCAGCCAATGCTCTTAGCCACTGAGCCATCTCTCCAGCCTCCTTTTAGATTGCGCCACCATCGCCCGGCTAGATGTCTTTCTACTGGTACTCTGTGACAGAAATTTGTTATTGTTCATTTCTAGCATGTTATAAATCTAAGTTTCCTTACAAACCTAAAGTGTTATTGATGAGAATTGCTGATACTGATTGACATTTACAGTATGTGCCAGTATATAATTTATTCCTTAGTGCTAGATTAGTCTCTGCCCCTTAGGTCCAAAACCATGAACCAACCTAGAGGAATTCAGTAACTGCTGGCCATAGTTTGTTTTTTGTTGTTGTTGTTGTTGTTATTGTTTCAATGGAATCAATACGGAGAAATGAAATACTTTACTTTTGCAGAGAAGAAAGGGAAAGCACTCTGTACAATTTATTTTTTGCCTCCTTTAGCAGTAATTTATAGCCCGTGTGTTACCTTAGAAACTGTGAAGACTGACTAGGCGTGGTGGTGCCACCTTTAATCCCTACATTCGTGAGGCAGAGGCATGTACCTACTTGTGAATTCTGGGATACATGATGAATTCCAGGCCAGCCAGAGCTACATAGAACCAGTCACAAAAAACGAAAGACAAAAACACATGAACACAGTCTTAAAGCAGCTTATTTTTCCTTTTCTTGAGGTCTGTGTACCTAGGAATACACACTCCCCACCTCCATCCTTACCCACAGGATGAGTCATAATTGCCATAATGTCAGTTTCTCTAACCCAGGCATGATGACTCATGACAACGGTATCAGAACTATATATTTCCTTTTGTCATACTTGGCCTTGAAAGCATTTTGATATTTAAATTGTTGTTGCATGATATGAAGATAGCACCAATACTATGATCAGAGCCAGTCTTGTCACACAGAGACAAGTATTTGTTGTTAGCAGACCTACTGTGAAGCCCCTATAACATTGAATTTATACCTCCATTGGCAGCACATGGGAAGTCTGGATTTCACTATAGCTAAAGTATGTTTTTAGCATGTTTAAAGCCCTAAGCTTAGCCACCATCACAAGAAAAATGGACACTAAAGATGAAAAATGGGGGCCCAGGAAGGACACATAGTTGTACAGTCCTCAATACTTGGTTTCACCATAGACCATAGTTTTCTTCTGTTTTTTTTTCTTTTTTCTTTTTTTTCTTCTGTTTTTTAAAAAAATGATTTATGTTTAATTATGTGTTTGTGTGTATGTACATGTAAGTGCAGGTACTTAATGGAGGTCAGAGGCATTGAATTTCCTGGAGCAGGAGTTGTAGGCAGCTGAGAGCCTCTGGTATGGGGACTGGGAACTAAACTCTGTAAGAGCAATATACACCCTTCACTACTGAGCCATCCCTTCATCACCCTTGCTTATCCTCTTAATAACATATAGGTAGTATATGTTATTAAGATATATAATGGTAGGTAGGGAAGTAGGAATACCTACCATATAAAGAACCAAGGTGAGGGGACCAACAAGATGCTCGGTGGGTAAAAGTGCTTGTGCAAGCATCACAACTTGAGTTCAATCCCCAGAACCCACAAATTTGTCTTCTGTCCTCTGTATATTCATCATGGTACATCTATACCTCTCCCCCAACACAAATAATAAAAAAATTACATTTAAAAAAGAGAATTAAGGTGAGGATTATATAGTATTTATAAAGCCTAGAATAGCAAGTGTCACATAATAACTATAATTGGTATTTATAGTGCTTAACATATAGTAGTGTTTATGGATTTTTGCTGAATGAGTGACCAACTAAATCATGGAGCTGACCCCCTCTTCAATTTTTACACTGACCAAGGAACAATTTCTACATCATTGTACTGTCTCCCCAAAACTTAGCCTGTTTATTTCCTTTCCCTCTTCAGTAAGAGAGGTCCTGTTGGATACTCAAACATCCCACCAGATTATTCTCCCTTGCTGACTGGGTAATTGGGCCTGTAGTTTCCATTCTCACTGAGATAAGAGAAACCTTTTCTTTCTCTGTATGCCTAGTCCTGAAAATTAAAAAGCACTTGGATGTTAAGTCTCCAATAACATGGATCCCAGGCAGAGCTCATAAAAAGTAAATGCAAAATCAGGGATGGTCCTGAGTTTCTGGATATTTTATGCAAAAACAAAGGCCACATTGACCCAAGGAGACTTGGACACATAGTATTTGTTGTAAGCTAGTTGGTGTGTTTCCGTCAAGGGTAGTTTTAGTTAGAGTGTTATCTGCTCTCCTTTTGCTCCCCATCCCATCTGTTACTCAGCCAGTCATGTTTATTATGGTTAATTTTGATAGACATTAGAGAAAGGCAAGAGGAATGTCCAAAACATCTTGGAATGAAGAAAGATGAGATGGAGGTTTATTCAGGGTTACCCAAAGCATTTGTGTGCAGTGTAAAATAGAATGAATTAGGGCCATGATGATGGTAGTTTAAGTATAGAGGTTTTTGCCCACTTTGTTGTCCTGCCTCCATCCCATCACCTTACCTCTTACCTCTGTGTCTCCAATCCTGATGGAAGGTTGCAAGGAATTAAGATTCTTCAATTAAGTTTGGAAAGTCGTGATTAATCACCTTTTCAAGGGTCAAGAATACGAAGATTTAAGATAGCTTACTGCCCAGGAAGATCAGCCACACTTTGGAGATAGCAGCATGACTTGATGAATGAACCCACCACAGGGTACCTGCCTGTCCCCTATTTTGAATGGTCTGACCTTCCAACTAGTTTGTCTAGGCATGTACTGCCCAACTGGTGACCTGACTGTTATTCCTTGTGACCGCCAGGGGATCAAGTATTTGCTGGGCTAGAAGAACAAGCCCGACAAGCGATGATGAAAACTGATTTTCCTGGAGACCTTGGCAGTCAGCGACAAGCTATCCAACAACTAAGAGATCAGGACTCCAGTAGCAGTGAGTTCTGCACCTTCTGGTAATGACTCAGGGCAATGGGAGAAGAACTAAGTGTGTGCTCTGGGGATTGTGCGTGGGGGTTGGGAGGAAGCTCTAAGAAGAGGTGTGGATCTCCAATGTCTGAATATGTTCATTCAGAGAGAGACATGGGCCAGGTTAGCATGTTGTTTTTTTATAACACATGTACTCTAGTAATTGGCACGGTGCCATATATAGATAGGTGTGTGGTGGTTGTGAAATAGAACATTCTAATATAGAAATGGTTAGTGTTCAGGCAGTTCATGGGCCAGGTCAAATAAAAAGAAATATAAGAGTGTCATTGAAGTTTTGCTTGAGGTCCTAGTTTTAATGTTGTGCAGATTTGCTTAGTGATGAGATGGTGTAGCATATAAAAATGCTAAAGTCCAGGTATTCCCACACCAAACCCTTTACTAGATATCTGTGTAATTAGATCAAAAAACATTTAATATTGCTGGGTAGTGATGGTGAGAACCTTTAATCCCAGCACTTGGGAGGCAGAGGCAGGCAGATCTCTCTGAGTTTGAGACCTACCTGGTCTATAGAGCGAGTTCCAGGACAGGTGCCAAAGCTACAGAGAAACCCTGTTTTGAAAAATAAAAAACAAAAAAAAAAAAAAAAAGAAAGAAAGAAAAATGTAGTCCTATGAGTTAAGGCTCATGCATTATCTGTTCCATGACCCACTTGAAGAGACTCATTCTGAGCTGTGTTATTTCCCAGAAAGATGCTATACTCTCCTGATGTTGTACACTTGATATTGGATAGTTATTAATATCAGTTTAGGGTGAAACCCTGATTTTTTTTTTTAACTACTTGTAAACTTGGGGAAAAGAAAGAGATGGAGAAAGAGAGAGAAACAGAGAGTGTGTGTTTGTTCTGAACTCTGTATAGAGAGTTCTACAGTTTTAACCAAACTAATAATGAAACAGTAACCACATAGACACAACCCCTACACACAAACAGCAACTAATCATTTAGGTACAAAGAAATTAACTCTACAGCCAGGCGGTGGTGGCACATGCTTTTAATCACAGATTAACTCTGGGGGCAGAGGCAGGTGAATCTCTGTGTTGGAGGCCAGCCTGGTCTATGGAGCATGTTCCAGGACAGCCAGGGCTGCACAAAGAAACCCCGTATCAAACAAACAAATTTAAAAACAAAAAAGAAAGAAAATAAATGAACTCTAGAATTTCTAGAAACCCTATGGGACACAGTAGTTTCTTAAAGGTAAGCATAGACATCTGCAGGCATGCCATAGGCTATATATAGTCCCAACACTCGGAAGGCAGAGGCAGATGGATCTCTGTAAATTGGAGGCAGGCCTGGTCTACAGAGCTAGTTCCAGGACAGGCTGCAAAGCTACAGAGAAACCCTGTCTCTAGAGACAAAAACAAAAATTATACCATCCTTATAGACAGCATACTTTAAAAAAAAAAAGTTCCTGACATAGATATTCTGATAATAGACAAGTTACAAAAGTGTATTTTATCAGCAGTACAGTGCCTTAGACGAAGCCAACAAGTGCTCCACACTGGATGCTGGTGAGAAAATATGGTATGATCTAATCTGTGCCAGTGCTTCATAACTGAGAGGGACTCAAGTGAAATAAAGCTTTAAGGAAAACATACCATACTTAAAACAAGCACATCTAATATAGACACATATCGTTAACAGCAGGTGGTGTGGTAGGAATATGTCAATAAAGGAAAGTTAACCCAGAATCCAAGCAGGAATGAGAGGGCTATCCCAGCCAACTGACAGCTTCCTTAGGTGTGGCTTCCTCTGTTATCTTTAAAGTACCCACACTGAAGCTCATTTGTGACTGTGGGTTTTTGTTCCCCCTCAACCTTTTTTCCCCCCCTCTATTTTACAGATGACAGACAAAATCAACTCACATATACCTTGCAGCTTCATTAGCCACAGGTAGATTACCCTACAACCACATCCTTCCCTCCCAGATTAAAACAGAACAGTTACTCATGTCTAAAGTGAAGAATGACACTCCCCCCCACTTCTTTCACATCTAGTTATCCTTTAGATACGCCAAAGAACTAACTGAAAAGTGGCTTTATTTAGTTTAAAATGTGCATTACTAGTAGATCAAGAACAGAGTGGACAGATGAGCAGGTGGTACATGCCTTGAATCCTAGCACATAGGAGGTAGAAACAGACAGATATCTGAATAGAGTTTCAAGACAGCCTGGACTATACAGAAAAACCCTGTCTTGTGGGGGCGGGGCAGAGTAGGCACTTGGGGCAAGAGGATTGTGCACTTCAAGGCAAGGCAGCCTTTGTTGCACAATGAAACCATCCTGAAAAAGAAAAAGGAAAAAAAAAAAAAAACAGAATAAACTTGAACACCTTCCACCCTTATAAATTGCCCAAGGTTGGTTACTATGCTAATCCCATTTTTTCCACTGAAGTGTATAGCCATTTCCCTATAAACTGACGTAAGTTTAAACTAATTTATTCTTACATTCTTATTGATAAGAGGAAATAAAATTTTGTTATTTCTGGAAGTGTGTATTGATGTTTGTTGTGAAAGAAGAGATTAGTGGTCTCAGGTAGAATTGTCTATGACAGCATAGAGAGTGTGCAGGTGACTGTAGAGACAAGTAAGAAAGAAACAAAATCAGGAAGAAATGTTGCTAAGTCAGATTGTGTGTTGCGGGAATGAGTTTGGTGTGGTGTGCTTAGGGAAGTATGGTCTCAAGTGTAAGATATTTTGCTAGGCTTGGTGGTTCATGTCTATAATCACAGCACTTGAGAGATAAGAGGCAAGAAGATCAGAACTTCAAGATCATCCTTGAATACACAGTGAGACTGAAGCCAGCCTGGGCTACATAAGGCCTATTTCATAAACAACAATTATTTTTATGGTAGTTATTATTTAATGGCAAGTTACCATTTCTAGTGCACTTTGCCTCACACTTCCCCTTTAGTGTGTGTGTGGTCTCTAGTCACACGGTTTGTGCCCACTGAGCACTGATGTAAACTGTACAACCTCAAGTCTGAAAATGTTTTTTTCATTGTAGCTGCAAATCCTGTAGTGAACAGCAGCTCAGGATATATTTCTGTAAAACTCAGAACAAGTGACCAGTTTATGTGTTCCAGGTGACAGTGAAGGTGATGAAGAGGAGACCACACAAGATGAAGTATCTTCCCACACATCAGAGGAAGATGGTGGGGTAGTCAAAGTGGAGAAAGAATTAGAAAATGCAGAACAGCCTGTTGGTGGTGGGAATGACGTAGTAGAGCATGAGGCAAGTGGCCCGCAGTCCTTGTTACATTTCCCTCTTCCATCCACACCCTTGACCCTAAAAGCTCTACTTCTTTCCAAGCAGAGCGAGCACTGCTCTAGGAAGCCTCTGAAGTGAGCTTTCACGTTTAAGTCAGAGTCAGACTGTGCTGTGGAACCTGCTTCCAACTAAATGTTTCCTGAGTATTTGTGCAAGGAATATGCAGAAGGGAAGCTAACCCTTTCCCTGCACGGTCCAATGTCTTCAGGGTAGAAAGCCTTGAAGATTCTAGAAAATTTAATTCTTTTCAAACAGTACTTGATCCTTCAGTCCAATGGGAAGCAAAAACTAACACCTGTGTCGGACTATTGAAAGAGGTGGGGCATGGAAGAGATTAATGAAAAGTCTTCATGACTTGCCTGTCTGATGGATTTGCAGGTCACAGAAAACCTAAATTCTGACCCCTTGCTTGAACTCTGCCAGTGCCCCCTCTGCCAGATAGACTGTGGGAGTCGGGAGCAACTGATTGCACACGTGTACCAGGTATGGAATGGGCAGAGGAGTTCTGAGACTGAATGCAAGCAGTTTAGATCTCGGGTGCTGCAGTGGCCTTTGCCTTTGGTAAAAGAAGCTCAGGCTGTTGGTTCTGCTAGGACTCATTCCACCCTTCAGAACATCTTAGAAAATAACGGTGATGTTTTTACTAAATAGGTTCTGAGTTCCCAGACAGATACTCTTTGGAAATTAAGTACCAGGTGGTCTTGTTTTCCTAAGCAATTTGATACAATCAGTAGTGAAAGAGAAACTAACTTCTATTAACAATGATGTCTTTTAAAGAGGGTCGGGGTGGTCAACAAGATGGCTCTGGTGGTGAAGGCACCTGTCACAAAGCCTGGTGTCCTGAGTACAGTCTCCAGGACTCACAATGTGGAAGGAGAACTGATTGCCACTTGTTATCCTCTGACCTACACACACACTGTGGTGTAGGTCACTACACCACACAAGTATACGCAGGTACACTACAAGCACACAAAATAAATAAAATGCACATTGATATATTTTGAGATGCCAATGAAAGGAAAGTACAAACAAGGAAAAATACTTTTCTACCCTAATCCAATTGAGAGCATACCTACTTACTAGTGGTTTGTAAGACAGTACTACAAAGGACAGTTTAGGTTGTACCAAGCTTTATAGATTGTACCTATAAAGATGGTTCATTAGAAGTATTTCTTCACCCTGGCGATAGTTATGGTGCACACCTTAAATCCAAGCACTTGGGAGGCAGAGGCAGGCAGATCTCTGTGAGTTTGAGGACAGCTTGGTCTACGGAGTGAGTTCCTGGAAAGCTAGGGCTATACAAAGAAACCCTATTTTTGAAAAACCAAAAAGAAAAAAAGAAAAGTTTCTTTAGAGGCAGGCCACCATAAATACCTGTTCATACCACTACTACTATCTAACTCCTTCATTGCACCTTAAAATGCACTTGTAACTACATAATATGAGTCAGGGACGCCCAAACTATCAAGAGCACGAATCCCAGCCTCTGTGGAGAGCTCTGTAGCTCCATTATTCTTCATGCCATTTACGTATCCCAGAATATGGTCTGAATTCGCAATAATAAAATATGAGCAATGGCCTGAATGACTAAACAAATAGTTTCATGTCCTTCGTTCTACCGGGAAAAAAGGAAGGGCTGCAGATTGTCTTGGAGGTAACACAAAATTAACATATTAAGACTTTGTTTTACAGCATACTGCAGCAGTGGTGAGTGCCAAGAGTTACATGTGCCCTGTCTGTGGACGGGCCCTTAGCTCCCCAGGGTCTTTGGGTCGCCACCTCCTAATCCATTCGGAAGACCAGCGGTCTAACTGTGCTGTGTGTGGAGCCCGTTTTACTAGCCATGCCACTTTTAACAGGTTAGTAGAACACCTGATCTTGTGCTAAGCAAATTACTGGATATAAGATGCTGCTTCCCCAGGTCAAAAGAAGGACTGGAGATAAGTAATGCCATAGAGCTCATAGAATAATCTGGAAGTACAAGTGATGAGACTAGGAGAAAAGCTTGACAGTATGCACTAGATAGTCCCTCAAGGGAAAGGAATTGCTTTTCTTTCCCTGTCAGAGTATTTCCAACTAGAAAGTAATACAGAGACACAAGAGCATTCATGATAAAGCAGACAGACAGAAGCTGCAGTATGCTGAGAGGATCCTATGTCAGGACACACTCTGCTGTCTTCTAGGAAGACTAAAACACTGTCCTCATCCCATTGCCTTGGTTGTACAATGCAGGCAATGCCAGGTAGGAGGTAAAGCAGTGAATTGTACCTGTGTGAAGGAAATCTCCACCTCCAGACCCCTCATTCACACAACAGGCCCAGCCCTGCTCAGCTCCTACAAAATACTGCCATTCTGACTTTGCCTTTAGGGGTTATTTTGGGTAGGTTTCTATGGCAGGTGGTTTAGTTGCTAATTCAAGGAGGGCTTTAAAATTTAGTAGATACCCTAGTCCAAAGAAGAGAAGGGGTCTTTCAAGCATTCCACTGTCATAGTGGTGGACTTCCAACAGTTTGTCTAGTGGTTATGGGGCAAGTCAGTTACCTGGGTACCTGAGGCTTACTACACAGAAATACTAATCATCAAAAATATTGGCTTCCCAGTGAGAAACTTCCTGAAGTACTTAATATGGAATCCCTACCCCAAGTCCACAGTGAGGGCCCCTCCAGTGCTGAAGGGAAGGACATTTCCTGTAGTCCTCCAGTATATCCTGCTGGAATTCTGCTTGTGTGCAACAACTGTGCTGCCTACCGCAAGCTACTGGAAACACAGACCCCCAGTGTGCGCAAGTGGGCCCTCCGTCGACAGAATGAACCTTTGGAAGTACGGCTACAACGACTTGAACGAGAACGCACAGCCAAGAAGAGTCGGCGAGACAATGAGACCCCAGAGGAGCGGGAGGTCAGACGCATGAGGGACCGTGAAGCCAAGCGCCTGCAGCGCATGCAGGAGACAGATGAGCAGCGAGCTCGCCGGCTACAGCGAGACCGTGAGGCCATGAGGCTGAAGCGGGCCAATGAAACCCCAGAGAAGCGGCAAGCCCGACTCATCCGGGAGCGAGAAGCTAAGAGGCTCAAGAGGAGACTGGAGAAAATGGACATGATGTTGCGAGCTCAGTTTGGTCAGGACCCTTCTGCCATGGCAGCCTTAGCAGCTGAAATGAACTTCTTCCAGCTGCCTGTGAGTGGGGTAGAGTTGGACAGCCAGCTTCTGGGGAAAATGGCTTTTGACGAACAGAACAGCAGCTCTCTGCACTGAACCACACCCTCCTGCCTGACTTCCCACCTACTCCAGCCCATTAGGGATCAGTGCTGCTGTCACCCAGGAGACCACAGTCCTTGCTGCCACAGGCAGGCCCGGGTTGGTTGCAGGGAAACCTGTGCACCCTCTGCATGTGGGAACATGATGGGGTCAGGAGGGACCCAGCTCAAGGCAGCTCTGGACAAAGAAAGGAGCAGGCACTCCAGAAACCTGGACTCCTCAGTCCACTGTGGCAGGCCAGGGTTATGGGACTGTAGGACCCCAGTACAGTCCATGAAGCTGTGAGGGCAAATAAATTAATTTTATCTTTACTGGCCCTTGGCTTTTTCTCTCATTGTTTTATCCAATGAAGTGTGCTAGGAGAGAGCCTGATGGGAATGTTCAGGTAGTGGCTTCCAGTTCCTTTCTGAGGCAGAATGTGCTTTAACTTGGGCTCTCTGAGCAGAGGACTAGTGATGGTGATATCAAGTCAGCTGTGATGAAGACCAGAGCAGAACAACTACCGACTCTTGCAGTCTGGCTGCCATGCACTGGAGAAGAGCGCTGCTCAATTTCTGGTTCAGTGCTGCTACAAAAACAAGCAGAAGTTCCCTTAGCCTGCAACAAAGGTTATGCACAGTCTGGGTATTTATAGATCATGAAGTCCAGAAGGATGTGCCCTAGTTAAATTGTTGCCAGAAAGGTAACTATGCCAGGAATGTAGACCTCTTCCAATGTAACAGACACTTGGACTCCTCTCCCACTTCTGTAGGTCTAAGGCTGTTTAAAAGTGTCAAACAAAGTAGGGCTACTCTCAACAAAGTAGGGCTAAGTCCTACTGACCTCTGAAAAAATACTTTTAAGAATTACATTGAAGCCAGGCGGTGGCAGCACTCAGGAGGCAGAGACAGGCAGATCTCTGAGTGTGAGGCCAGCCTGCTCTGCAAGACCCAGTATCAGGCAGTCAGGGCTGTACACAGAGAAACCCTGTCTCAAGAAAGAAAAAAAATTACATTGAAAAGAAATTAAGTACTTAACTGATCCAAATGCCTTTCACAGAGTTCCATACCAAAATCCTGTCTGAAATATTTCAAGTAACTGGATGCTCTCTGTCCTAAGGAATACTTATTCAATTATTTCCACAACATTCTGAATTAGTACAATTCAGGAATAGATGTGTGGGTTCAAAACTCCAGCTCAGTGGTTGTTTGCCTAACATGCTGGAGGCCTCAGGTTCGATCCCTATCATCGCAAAAACGACTAACCAACCAAAATCACAAGACAAGCCAGGTGTGGTGATGCACACCTTTTATCCCAGCACTTGGGAGGCAGACAGGTGTTTCTGTCAGAGACAGAGAGTTTGAGCCTGGTCTACATAGTCCCAGGATAGCCAGGGTTCTATAGAGAGACCCTGCTTCAAAAACAACCAAGAAAGAGAGAGAGAGAGAGAGAGAGAGAGAGAGAGAGAGAGAAAGAAAGAAAGAAATCAGAACTAAAAAACCCACTGTACCATTACTGTGTAACTTGAGCCAGATCTTTAACTCCTGTCCCAAATGGTAGTAATAATAGCAACGGATGATGGATAATGCACTTAGGATACTTTGCGGCAGACAGTAAATAAAGGTGTTTCATCACTTATTGGTGGTAAACATTTCTAAGTCAGAAGCAGCGGCTATGACTGGGGTTACTTCAGCAATGTGTGGCAGTATGCCAGAGTAAAGGACAGGTAGAAAGGCCAGCAGTGAGGACATCTATTAGTCCTACTGCTGACCTTAGTCTACAGGTAGATTTCCCAGACTCTGAAATTCACATCAGTGGGGGTGAACCATGGGTCAGGTAGTTCCCACCATTTGCCAAGTTTACCAATGACCACATCATCATTTACTCCAAGTGATCCTGCCCCAATGGCCACCCATCAAACTGAGATAGGAAAAAGGCGCAAACACCAAAAGGAAAAGCTAGTAGTTTATATAGATTGATATATAGATATATAGATATTGATATATATTGTGTTTACATAGTCCACAAGTTAAATGCAGGTATCCATAAGAAGAGCATTAACAATAAAAATACAATCTGTGTGTAGCCAAGTACAGAGACTTAAAATGGTAAAACAGCAAAAAGGATCTCACAAAAGTACAAATATACAGTACAAATTGATTTATTTAAAACAGTTACAAAAAAGCACAACAAAATAGAGATTATCCTTAGAATTATTAATGCTTTGTTAAAGATCAGGTAGGATTAGAGGGTAAGAAATGGTATTGGGTGGAAGGAGCACCTGACTAGTTCTAAGGCTTTAGATACAATGCAGTTGATTACATATTAATTCAGCCATTACATACTGGGGATAGTGGTTGGGGGATCAGTAATTTATCTACAGGGAACTCCTACACAAATCAGATCCATCCAGACCTCCCCAGTGCCATCCTTCTCTACTCCTTAGGACCCTAAAGCCACCTGGATGACAAAATTTCCATCCTCTCTCCACCCTATTACCTATCCATATACTCTTCCCTCCCCTAAGGTGCTGTGCAAGCTGAGAGCAATCTGCTCTCAGCAGCTGGAACATATACTGTTTGGCTACAGGGATCCTGTATGTCGAGGAAGGGTGTGGAGGACAGCCGTATTTTAATACTTCAAGTTAGCCATGAGTACGGTCAGTCTCTTCCCCAATCCAATTCACTGAGTGCACATATGAAGCAAATGAGGGGTCCACCCTGCCTCCAGCAATACCAGCAGCTCACCAACCCTCAGTTTACAACTACACATAAAGTCCCTGGCAGGGGGTGAGGTGGGCATAAAACCACTGTGTTATTTGTTCTTCCTCTCTCTCAAGTACCTAGGACCCCTAACATAAAGACAGACTAAACGCTCAAGTCTGACATTAGGTAAAGGCACATGGGCTGCTGCCACACACACTGCAGACAGGAACCCAGTCTGGGGCCATCTTTACTGCTAGGCGTTTGCAGTGGAATGGCTTTGGGATTACACAGACTGTTGAGTTTGCAATCTACTAGAGAAAGATCCTAGGCTTAACAGAACTAATAAAGAAACCTTTAATGTGAAAAGTGCATTTATTACTATTTTCCTGCTGAGGAACTCAACAGGACAAGCCATATCAGCTCTCCCTCTGCCCCAAGAACTGCATAGCCTGCAGGTTAGGAGAGAATGCAAACAACTCTAGCATCAAGGGCCAGTGTCATCCTAGGCCCAGACCAGGCTTTCGCTCCAAAGATGGATCCTAGAGTTGAGAAAAACAACTGACAGCTGCAAAGACCCAGATGCTTATTTTATTATTGCATAATGTGGGAGACCTTTCCAGGGGAAGCTAGAAGGTGAAGCCTTCCAAGCAAAGGCTAACAATATCCATCTATAGTAGAATTCAGCTCTTCAACTGTAGTGTACAACTTTTCTGATCTAGAAAGTACTATAGCTTCAGTGTAGTTTAGTAAACTTAATCCTAGGAGGTCAATACACCTCTCTAAAACTTGGCCTCTGTCCTGTTTGCTTCTAGGACTGTGACCTAATCTCCCATGGCCAATTCAATTAATCTGGTTATCTTTACTCCAAAGGCCTGAGCCTTTCCCAATGTCTACCTTCAGCTCACGCCAGTGTGACCAACCACTCAATATGCTTACTCAATGCAGGTTTAAATCATGCCACCATCCTGTCCTCTTAAAATGCGTATGATACCCACTGGTAAAAAGAAAATTAATCCCAACTGGAGGAGCTATTTCAGACAAACTTCAAACTCTTTCTCAACCCCAGAAAATGGGACAAGAATCCCACTAGGATCCTGGCTCAAGCCCTAATGTGGTTTCTCTTGTTTTTAAAACAGGCTATAAAGTACCATAAAGGAGAGAAAAAGCAGTCTCTGGTAGGACCTGTTTCTCTCTGAAGACAGGCACATTTTTGGAGCCAATGGGCTTCTGCCAACACTGAAGCCACATCCTTTCAGACCACCCAGTCCATCCACAGCATGAAGACCGTCCCTATTCCACATGACAATGCTACGCAGTACCACTGGCAGAACACGGAAGAGTGGACAGGATGCCTGAGCTTAATCTACATGGCCAAAGACATGAAGAACAGGAGCTAAAATGGGCAACAGGCAGACAGTGAGCAGACAATAGCAGTGGAAAAGCAGCACAGAGCAAAGTCCATGGTGTTAGGACCAAATGGGACCCTAAGTGTAAGGAGAGTCAGTCCAGCTCTTCTCAGGCTCCTCCCTTGGGTATAAACACTGAGATCTGAGGGCTCAAGCCCTTTCCCCATATCCTGTCTTAATAAGGATGATCTAAATCTTAGATTACTAATCATCCTTTACCAAGTTCCCCTTCTTCTAAATTGGCCTATGTATTTCAAAATACATATTGGCCTATTGTTTCAAAACTTTCTCCAAGTTCTGGGAATGTCCTATCACTGACTAGGAATGGGCTGATCTTTGTCAACTGTCCAGTCCCCAAAAGCTGACAGCTAACCACTGAAACGCTCACCCTAAAAACCACTCATGTCTCTTACACACTTAGAGTAAGTACTGCCACAGCTCTGACAAGAATTCGTTTCTAGGGCGCACAGTTTAGGAAAGGTAACCCACAGCTCAGCAAAAGCACATTACAAATGCATGGCACCATATTAAGGGAGTTACTGTTATTACTTTATCAGACAGGGATAGAAAAGAACCACAGCAGAAAAGTCAGTGCCCACTTTGTCAAAGCCCTCAACAATGTCTTTTTCCAGGATTCAGCGGACATTATATCAGGTGAGGAAGCTACAACTAATCTAAGTAGAGAGCAGAGTGATTTGACTGCAACTACAGCCAGATGCATGTTGGCCCCACTGGAAAGCTCAGTGGTACCCCTGGTAGACATTTCTTGAGCATCTACAGTGCATGTCACTAAATTCTCATGGTGAGCCTTCCTGTGAGGAAGGGGGCTTGCGAGAAATCCATGCATACAATAATCCCTAGGAATGAGTTGCTCGTGAAACAGTCAGAGAGGAGGCCTTCTCCTACAGCTCTTATTTGAGAGAATTCCTCAAGACTCAAGCCCACAGGCCCCCACTGTAGGAAATAAGCCAGAGAAGCAGCAATCAGAGAATGGGGGCAAGAGAAGGGAAAGGCTGCAATCTCCACTGCAGCACAAGGTTGGTGTCTAACTCTGACAAACTCTGAGACCTAAGTACTTGTCAGGTAAGCAGCTTCCCTAGGATGTTTCCCTAAAAGCTTGCTGTTATCTGTTCTCAAGGTCTGAAACAGAATGTAGGGCTTGCAGTACACCAGCCAGCTTCTGTCACTCTGTTCCCGAAGAGAACCACCTTTAGCACCTGAACACT